ATCAATCTCATGCTTAATCTAACCGATCCGGTACTTCTTTTCTTCTACATTTACGCTTTGAAGCACTGCTTCTTATTTAAAACAATTCATGATCAACATCCAAGTGTTTAATTAAGTAGTCTTTCAAGAAAAAGAGGGTAAAAATAGAAAAAATGTTCATAACCATGTGAAATGGATCTTTCATTATAGGCGTCATTTTGGCTTTGTCACACCTGTTTAAAAACATCCTGCTCTTTTCACGCCATCACTGGTGCACCGTATTTTTTGAGGACAGTAACTACAGTAATTTTGTTTATGCAGCGTTGTTTGGTGCTTTTGACTTCTATACCTCCAAAAGTTTATCCGTAAAAAATTTGGCTTGCCATATTGTCAAATTATTATGTGCATGATACTGTATGGAGATATTCTTTCGCATAGTTATATGGTGTATTTTCATTACTTCTTTGAGTGACTGTATTGTTAAATATAAACATTCCTCTGATTTTTATAGATTGTTCAGTAGGCGTATATTTGCGCAATTTTCCCAAGATGTATATTTGCCTTTTTTCGGACATTTTTCATCGTTTTCGAAACCTGAAGAATACGTAGCTTTAGTTGAAATACCATCGTCAAAATAAACATTGTTTTAAGTCATCGACGGAGGGACCGTTGCGCCAAAGATAAGAAGGTCCGCAAGTCACCGCGTTGATGAGCCAGTGGCGCGAAGCCCTGGTATGCCAGTTTGAGTTAATATCTCTTCTGACTGGTTGTGCATTTGTACTCGATCTCGTTAGAGCGAGGAATAGGTTTGTGAATCATAGGCCCCCATTGCTATTACGAACGGGAGCTTATATACTTCCAGGCTCTCTAGCGGAAGCCGATTCTCTACCACCGAGTGGTTATGAATACCACCAAGAGTTCCTAACAGTAGGGTCTATCAGAGTCTCGTTGGCTGAGCGTTTCACTGTTCACGACAACTGTAACTGCTGAAAAGGAACAAGCCCCACAATATTTCACACTGCCTAGCGGTACCTTAGTTTGATCGCTGTCCACTCATTGTGACAGGGATAAGAGGATAGTTTTTAGAGAAGATGAATAAATTCGCCAGTGATGAATCGAGACTATAAATACCGATTTCGAATGGAGTATTTTTTTATGCTGCAGTATTGCAGTAACCTTAGAAAAATATTTTGTATCGCAGTAGTTTATGTAGCTATGATTTACCTATTTCTTAAACAGTTCACAGCGCCTCGTGATTTCAATACCATGAAATACTATTAACAATAAAAATAAATGGAAACCGATTAAAAGCCTAAAATAATTCTTTAATTGTGGTGACAGGGCTTTCAGAACTTCGAAATTCTCAGCATTCGAATGTACACAAAAAATGTGGTGATGTGCGTTGTGCTCCCTTGTATATTACTTTTGTGCGTTTAAAGAGGATCATTTTGTTGGGTTCTGAAAGCTAGACTTATTCTTGGCTTTGAACCGTTGTTTATACTGATTTATTGCCTTATGTGGCTACCAATTTTGATTATCATTTTTTACTTTCTCTTTTCGCACTTATGACAGCCATGATTTTTTCAGGTATCGACCATTAAAACCAAAGTTCAAGAACTTACCACAATGCCGGCAAGCAAACAGAAGCTGATATACGAAGTATTATTTTCTTTAAATGTTTCTTTTTTGTAGTAATTTTTTATAGAATATTTTCATCAAAGATTCCCTTTCTCTGGCTTACTACAACATGCTCAGTGGTTCATTGGTTCAACTTCAGCTGAAGGAGCGCGGTGGCAGAAAGAAATAATATTATTTTATTGATTATCATTTAGTGTACATGCAGGTAATTGTATTGTTCAGTGTGCTTTCAATAAAGAATTCTTTCTTATCATTGAATTTTCGTGAAAAAAATGCCTACCTACTTCTCTGTTATTCTAATTTCAATTATCGCCTGAATTTTTGACGTTTCATGTTTTTCCATAGCAAGCTTTTCGTGCCACTATGTGTATTACCTTTCTGTACATAAATCCAACACCAAGTGAAGGACCCTGGCAGGTGATTCTGATCAATACGAGAGACGAGTTTTTCGATCGACCGACGCAGAGTGCTAGGTGGTCGGATGGCATTCTCTGCAGTAAGTTCGCTTTTGGAATTCTTCCTATATGTGATTGGGTAGGAAACTATTATGACGAACAAAAATTGTGCCGATTATGAAAATGTTGGAAGCTGAACAGAATGCCGATTGGGTTGGTTAACTGAAGTAGTTAACTGTATCGTCTCATCGAGTTTCTACTACATCTAAATCACCAATATTTGTTTGCAAGTTAGGTCTGGGTTGAAGTAAGGTCAAATTGTATTCTTTGGACATTAATACGGATGACTGCTTCCATCTGGTCTGTAGTGAGAACATCTTTTTAGAAAGAGTTGTTTTACCATCCAGAAGCGTGCAAACTCGATCTTCGTTACGTCCAACAGTCAGTACGATGCACCCCATGCCTTAAC